AGGTGGGCTGGGGTGCCTTCCACCAAGGCCCAAGGCGCCTCCAAGAGGGGAAGGGGCAAACCCTAGGGCAGATGGGCCCTAAGGCCCACCTCATGTGCGCCTCCCCCTCTCCCCCTTGTGGCCGCCACCCAAATGGGATCTGGGGGCTGCCGCCACCCCTAGGGAGGGAACCCTAGGTGGGGGCGCAGCCCCTCCCCTCCCCCTATATATACTTGAGGTTTGGGGCTGCCCAATACATGTGATTCAATCTCCCTGTTGGTGCAGCCCTACCCCTCTTCCTCCTCGTCTCTCGTAGTGCTTGGCGAAGCCCTGCTGGAGTCCCGTGCTCCTCCACCACCACCACGCCGTCGTGCTGCTGCTGGATGGAGTCTTCCCCAACCTCTCCTTCTTCCCTTGCTGGATCAAGGCGTAGGAGACGTCACCGGGCTGTACGTGTGTTGAACGCGGAGGTGCCGTCTGTTCGGCACTAGGATCATCGGTGATTTGGATCACGACGAGTACGACTCCATCAACCCCGTTCACTTGAACGCTTCCGCTTAGCGATCTACAAGGGTATGTAGATGCACTCTCCTTCCCTCGTTGCTAGATTACTCCACAGATTGATCTTGGTGATGCGTAGAAAATTTTGAATTTATGCTACGTTCCCCAACAGAAGCTACATTATAATATGTCATTTTCATTAAAGTATATATATCAAGTCCCGGTTCAGTATTATCTTACTAAGCCGGCCCTTGGGGGCTACACGTTGTTGTTCAAAGTTTACAAGATTATATTTACAAAGTCCCTGCTCATTATTGCATAATGACCCGGCCCTTGGGGCTACACTTATTGAAGTTTTATAAGCAATTACAAGTCTCAGGTTGCTGCAAGCATGACAACCCGGCACTTGGGGGCTACATATATGGAGTATTCAGTTTATATGGTTGAGATGAACTAATCGGATTTCTTCAAGGTTGAAACACTTATTGGAGCAAGTCTTAAGTTATCACTATATTCTCTTCTTAAGACTTGGGGGCTACAGGTATTATGCATATAAAGGAGGAACATCTTCATTTTATTAGTTTTGAGCAAATCAGGAAGAACAATTACATGACCCGGTGTCGACAACAATTATGACCTAGCGCCATCAATATTTTTAAAGCGGCAAGTTTTACATCTTCAAACCGGCTGGATATCAGACCAATGTCGGCAAATTGATTATGAAGCTGGTCTGTGGACCCGGATTTCCCAGAAGGAGGAAATAACAAGGACTTAAGGATGATCAGGTACCGGTTTACAAAAATTCTTAACCCGGAGCATAACCTGTCAAATTTGTCCTTGTGTTTATTTTGCAGCATAAGTTTACCATGAATAAATCCAAGCTAAACTTGGGGGCTAATGTCGGGGATATACCCCGCGGCGTAAACCGGCCGGAAGTATAACCCGGCCGGACTAGGCGTTTCATTGGTAAACCGCTAGAGGATTGGCGGTGTAAACCGGTCGGAAGTTAACCCGACCGGACTTGGCGGATTATCTGAAGACCCCGCTGACACTTGGCGAGTTACTGGCGACCCGCCTTGACCTGGCGGTTTACAAGCAACCCACCTGGTCATTATGACTCGCTGGTGATCCGGCGTGCAGGGCAGACAGATGACAAGGCCCAAGACCCAGAAGGCCGGTTCACGTTTAATGGTGGGCCGGTTTAAGAGGAAAGGCAGGAGGAATGTTATCTTACAAGGAGCTAAGACCTGAACTTGTATCCGGTTTGTATTAGAGACAGACTAGTCCTAATCCTAATAGGACTCCACATGTAAACCGCCCCTTCAACATATATAAGGAGGGGCAGGGCTCCCCAAAGGGGGAGAAGATGGACAAGTTCCATAAGTTGAACAAGTTAGGTTTAGACAATAGCTCTCGAGATAGAGCACTCTTGTAACCGTGATCATCATCATCATAAATATCAATGAAGCAGGACGTAGGCTTTTACCTCCACCGTGAGAGGCCGAACCTGGATAAAACCTCGCGTCTCTCGTCCCGCTCAATCTGGGAGGGGCCTTGGCACCAGGAGGAAGGTGGCAGGCCGTTGGCGCTCAGGGCAGGGCAGCTGCGGCAGGTGCGGAGGTTGTCGAGGGCGGTGCCGGGCGCGGCCGCGGCGAAGTTCAAGTTTGCCTAGGTACGGTCGTTCCTACTCTGCTTTGCCTAATCTGTTTTGCCTGTTTGATTGCTAAGATTGCGTGGTTAATTAAATTTAATGGCTTGTTTCTCTAGGAATCTGAAATACTATTCTGATGTATCTTCCTGAAGATTCCCTTCGTTTTGTTGGGCGTACAACTTCAGTATCATATAGGTATGGCTTGTAATCTCTGCATAACTCTTAATCGGTGGACTCGTTGGAATAGTTGCTTGCTGGGCTAATTAACGGCTATGTTTGCACATATATTAATGATTTTATATCCAGTCGATTTTAGCAAGATTATACTACTTCCAAATTAGGTATAAATAGGTACGGTTTTAATCTGCTACAGTAACTTGTTATTGGTGGCATATAATAGATATAGGACTCGTAGTCTAGTTTTGGTGAACATCCTGATCCTGAATATGGCATAAACTTCCAATATATATACCTTATATAGGTAGAGTTTCCAGTTTACCAAACTTTTTACACATATAAACTCCTCGTTGGAATATTTGCTTCTTGGCTAATCATTTCCCATGCTTTCTACAGATATTAATGATTCTACTATATTTTAGCAAAGATTATACTTCCTAAACGGGTATAAAATTCCAATACCTTCTAAGTACGATTTCTAATCTGATGTGTAACTTTCCATTGGTGGCATCTTACTTATTGGAATATTCTAGGCTTGCTGAAAGATTGCGTGATTAATTAAATCTGATGGCTCCTTCTGCAGGAATCTGAAATATTATTCTGTCATAGTATCTTCGTCAAGATTTGCTTCGTTTAATTGGGCTAAAACATCAATACCATATAGGTTGGTTTCTAATACGCATAACTTATAATCGGTGGACTCCTCGTTGGAATAGTTTTGCTTCTTGGGCTAATTAAGGGCTATGCTTTTGTACAGATATCAATCACTCCATCAAGTCAATTTGGCAAAGATTATCTACTCTCAATTTGGGTATAAATTTCACTTACCTTATAGGTACGTTTCTAATCTACCACGTAACTTTTTATTGGTGGCATCTTACTTATTTGAGTATTCTGTTTATTGGGCTAACGAACTTTTTTGCTTCATCTATAGATGTATAGATATAGACAAGATTCTGCTTATGGGCATAAATTCAGTTTCCTTATAGGTACAGTTTCATATCTGCCACTTTTCATTGGTGGACTCTACCTCTCCACATAGTATATGGCTAAAACTACTGGATGCCTATCTTTTGTAGGAATTTGCTGGACGGTTATGCAACAGGCAGATACGAGTACATGAATATGGGAGATCTAGATATAGATGTAACAAGACTTTCATCAGCACATCGATTTGCTGCTTATACGCACAAGTTATCATATGGTTGTATGCCTTGAAAATCTATTTTGATGTACTTGCTGTGTAAGACTATATCATATGGGTTTTATGCCTGAAAATCATATTTCGATGCACTTGCTGTGTAAAACTATATATCATTTTGCATGTTCGTTTACTTTATTGGCATTTAGTTTATGTTGATGCAATCAGGGCTGACCGACCTCTTTTTACTAGAACGACCTTGCTTATGCTACTTACCTTATTTGGTATTAGAACATAAACAAGTTACATTATCTGATTGCATGGCATAAATTAAGAAATAGTACTCCGGACGGAGGGAGTATGATTGTAGCCTAAAAACTGTTGGTGATAAGTGAATTCTAAAGGGAGAAATCTCAAGGCCATCTATTTTATTCTTTTATGAAAATGAGCAAACCATTTATGTGACTCATTCTTTTCAAAAGAAATAGCAGATCTCATAATTGTGTACAAACATAATCATCGTAGCATTTTGCATTAAAAGATGTAATAATCGTAGCATTTTGCATTAGAAGATGTAATAATCGTAGCATTTTGCATTAAAAGATTTTGGTTTGAAAGAGGTACAGCTAATGGTAAGGTAATTTGTAGTGGTAAATAGTTTCTCAGCATGCATCGACGGACCCCAAAAATGTCAACATAAACAGAGCAGCCATAACATTTAAATATCATTATCTGAAAGATGGCCCAGGAACACATTGGTTAATTTGCTACATGAGCAAACAAGCATGCTCAGCCCTCTGCCTGGACTTCAAGATTTGCTCGTGGTGCTGATTATTAGTAAAACAGGGCCAAAAAATTCAACCAAGAGTCTAACAAAATGTACAAACTAAATTTATAAGTAATAACAGTTCAACCGTGGAAGGATGACATCATAGTGATCTTACCTAAGCTATTGATGATGCGATTCACAACTAACATGTAAGAATAACAAGTAATGCATCATTTATGTACATAGTTTGCTCATCAAATATTCTGCCGGCTGCAAGAAAATATCAGTATTTTACTACAGCTTTGCACACTACAAAATGACGCTGAAAGCATATGGAATGGTTTTTTCTAAAAAAAAGTGCATGGAGTGTGCACATCAGCTACTGCAAGGAAATACTCGATACTCCATGAGAAAGGATTGAAGAAGATACCTTTCAAGGCTTCATTCAAACAAGGGAGGTAATCTAGTAAAAAAACAGAAATCATAATGGTCGCATGAGTTCATCACAGATGATAACCAACAGAAAGAATTAGTAAACTTACAAAGGCAGTCAGAAACAGCATATCTTGGTTGGCCGTGTAATTACCACCATCAAACAGAGGAAACTTGAAGGCAAGGTGTAGATGTGCACTGGAATAATGAGACATCACAATGGTTATGAGTTCACACGAATATATCAACTGGAAACCATACGAGGGTGATCATAGTTGAAACCATACAACAGGTGATTATAGTAACTGACGGAATCAAATCAGTGGCAAACCTTCAGAAGCTTCCGTATTTCAGGTCTTTGAAGCAAGGGCGTCTCTAACCTGTTTCAATATATTATGAAGCGTTTGCAATTCTGACATAGAATAGAAAAAAACCTTAACGCTTTGTAGTTATAGAAAAATGCTACATTCAAATACGGTGATGGAAAGCATCAATAGAAAACGCCAGAATCCTCACAGGCTTAGGGTAGTGTCACAAGATATTTGGACAAATTACCACCAATTTAATCATGGAAGAAGGGGCATTTGAGGTTACCATAGTCATTGTATCCCTGAACTCTATACTGGCTAACAGTTCTAGAGTCTACAAGCAGCCAAAATACTATCAAATCTACCATTTAATTTTACACAAAAACTGTAGCCAGTTTACATTGGTTGCCAAGCAGATTTACTCACCCTAAAATCGGCTTTCCTTAAAACCTCCTTTGTAGATGTTTCAAACTGGGGTCTTGGAGGGTTCCTTGGGGCTGCAGGTCTTGTAAGGTCAAGATCCTGCATGCAGTAGAGTTGACTAAAATCTGGTGTTAGAGGAGTGTCATTCGAGTAGATAACAGACTAATGCGTCCATGATTAAATGAAAAAAAAAAGATAGCTAAAATACTATGACAATATCTTCTGGTGGTTCGTGGTTTTTTAGGCAATATTGGATAAGACAAGCAATTTCTTTGTGTTTTCACAAACATATAGCCACAAAAGCACTACACTGGGTGGTAATATACTAACTCCGCAGAATCTAGCTCACACATTTGGCCACACTTCCTGAATACTTGTAAATCACTGAATCATGCTAGACTAAATCTAAAGACTACACAGAATTTGTGATCTCTCAAATACTTGAATCACTGAAGTAGGAGTAACAAACATAATCCCTCTTACCTTGAAGATTATCGTTGCAAAAAGGCAAGGAAATATACCATTCATGTTGATGATATCCAACAGGTCGGGGCATGATTTTGTTTTTAGAAGTGTGTCAAGAATCAACAAACAACCCCTTACACTGAAAGAAATGGTTTGGGGTACAGCTTCCAGGAGCAAAGGTTGGACGGCCATGGTGTGGGGTATGAGAGGGAGAGGAGGTTGGGGACGGGGACTAGATTCAAGGCAAATCAATCGGGCATATCTCACCAACATGTTGCCGAATAGGCGTGAACGACAAAAGAGAACCAATAAAAAGGTGGATTAATCACCAAACTGTCTTCATGGATCCAAATTGGTCATCAGCATGCCCAAATCACCTGTTAGGAAACAAAATAGAGGAAGAATTGGGCATGAACGGAACAAGAAATTTCACATAGTATTGCATGGATAATTTCAAATTTATGCTATAGAATCAAACAAGAGAGACAGGAACCACTAAAAGAATTCATCATGTGGTAAGATGCACAAAGAACCTAGCAATACTCGCAGAAACCCACAGCAAGATCAAAACTTTATTGGACCAGCGGCACAGTTGAACACCAGTGAGGGGCTCGGCGGATCTGGGTCTTTATTCTCAAGGGAAGTGGATCTGCATCTGGCAGGATTTGAAGACAACAAGGCATGAACAGATGCACCAAACATCCTTCACCAAAACAGAGAAGAATTGATGGGACAGATAACCAAAACGGCCAAGTCGAAAGAAGGAATATGCTTAGGAGCAGCGGAAGGGAGAGGAGGAGGAGGAGGAGGAGAGGAGGGGGAGGGATGCTTGGCATGGCGGCTATGGTTGACGAAGGGAGGCGCGCAAGGGGCGGTGGAGAACTGGGGACAGGACAGGACTGCGCCTTTTGTTTTTCTTCTTGGATTTCAGGGTCTCATTGATTTGCATGATTCTGAAAACATGAAAATAGAAAGAAAAAATAGGATTAAATAGACATATTCACCTGTAGAATTAGCAAGAAGTGTTTGATGTTACAAGAAAATAAAATAATCATAAAAAGGTTGAAATGGATGTTGGATTTCCTATGAAACATAGTAAATCAAAAGATCCATAGAAAAAATTATATAATTCTTATCCTATGAATCAAAGGACCAAAGTACAAACAATCTTCAAGGATTTTAATCCTCCAAAAATTCTAAAAGATTTCCTTCGAATCAAAGGAGCCCTTAGGGGCTCTCCAACGCCGACCCTTAAATCGTCTGCATCCGTCTAGACCAAGCGATCCGGACGTGCTGTGTCATCCAACGCGGGCCTGTGTCGCTCCGCCGGGTAGTTCAGACGTATTTTCTCCCACAAAGCGGAGACAAATGTGGGGGAGCTTTGCCGACGCCTGGACCGCTCACAAGCTCGCATTTGACCACTCTGGCCCACTAAAAATCTCCCACCTCCCTCTCCCGTGCTTTCCATCGAATGCTCGTACGGCTTGCAGCGCCACATTCATGCCAGCCTAGAGCATGCCGCAGGCGGCATTAGTGCCGCAATTTTGACTGGACGGGAGGGCGGCGCTGACGGACGTGACCTTTCGAGCGGCGCCGACTCAATGTGGGGCCGCGTCCCGAGGAACCAACTCCGGCCGCTACGCCTCATTGAAGCGAGCTGACCGCCCCTTCGCCTGGCCTGGTCGTGGCTATTTAAGCCATGCGCCGGCAATGCACAGAGGCGCACTCCCACTCTCGGAGCATCGCCCCCTCCTGCCCAAGCCCCTCTTCCTCTCCGAGCCTGGTGGCGGCGATACCAAAGTCATGGTACTCCATGCTCATAGGCGGAGTCGATGGAAGCTCCTCCTTGGTGGTTCTTGGCGCCGCCTCCCACGCTCTCTGGGCCCGTTAACATCCACGTTGGCCGACTCCTCCACCAAGGAGGAGATCGTCATCTCCTCCGATGACGACGAGGACCAAGCGCCGCAGCCGCCCCGACTCCTCAAGGAGGCCGCTCTGACGCCACCATTGCCGGCACGTGTCTAGGAGCCGGCGTCCCCGCCGCGCAACCGGTACAGCCCCATGGACGCGCCCTCGTCGTTGCCGCGTTGCCACTGCCTCGCCGTCAAGGAGGAGCTGGCGCCCGTGATCGAGAAGGCGCGAGGCCTCCTCCTCCACTAACTCAGAGGTGGTGGTTACGACGGTGCCGCAGGCTTGAGGTCCATCATACCCGAGGTGGAGCGCGAGGCGAGGTACGACTGGTGCAATGTCGGTCGCCGCTTCATGTTCGCCAAGAGCGACGTGGCGCCGGACTGGGTGAAAGAACATGCGGTGCCCCCATGTTTGGTTTTGGTAATTGATGACAATCTCTATGGACTAATGATTGCCTTGAGTTATATTTGAAGGGTTTGTTCATAGGCTTTTTCTTGAAGTCCATGTGTTGGTTTCAAGGAGTTTATGAGTTGACCAAGGTGCTATTAAGGAATTATCCAAAGATTGGTCATGTGAGTGTTGAGATTATTGCAAGCATGTCTTGAAGAAGAAGAGTGTGTGATCATTCATGTTTACCTTCAAGACATCATTCAAATGAAGACAGTTGGAAAGATTCAAGGTTGATTAAGACCAAGTCAAGCGTGAATCAAGTTGATCAACTCATAAAGCATAAAATATGTACCGAGAGGGATCAAGTGATCCCATGGTATGGTAAGCATTGTCCATTGTGCTTTGTGTACTAACCCATGGTCTATGTGAGAGTTCTAGGTGGGGTTAGGTACGTGTTCATGGGCTTGCGTCAAGAGGAAGATATCACTCAACCCATGGAGAGGATGACATCAAGTGGTGATCGTCGTCAAGATTACCGTGTGCAAGTTCTAGTGGAGCATCACGAAGAGATCAAGTGCTTGAAGCTTGTCGTCCATTGTGGTGACAATGGACTTGTGAAGATGTGCGGAAGAGTGGCTCACCCATAGTTGTCGTGGATTTGTCACGGCAGATGTCAAGGCAACGCCGTCCCATCCTGTCTCCTTCTCCAATTCCCCATCCAGCGCCCCATGGTCCTACCATCAGTGCTCCCTCATCGACGGCGTCGCAGCTCTCCAGCCTCCCATCTGGAACAACCGACGCCCCGTCTCCGCTGCTATCCCCACCGTCCACAACCATGCTCCATGGAAGCTCACCTCTGACGACCCAACCCCTCTCTGTTTGTTGCGTCCATGGCCACTCTCCTCGACGCCCTTTCCCGCACCACCGTCGGGATGGGTTCGTCCTCAGCAACGGCCACACATCCAGACTGGTTTTGATGTTGGGCCTTAATTTTTGTCCAGATTCTTTGATTGATTGATTTGACAAACACAAATTGACATAAAATCGATGCAATTTATCCTCCAAAGTGTTCAAGCAAATAGCCAAATCACAAATCACAGCCACATCTAGAACTCGAATCCGTAAATAGCATCATCCCTACTAGAGTGTGGCTGGATGGAGCGGCAGCGGTGAACAACGTAGCAAGCAGAGGAGTTGCGGCGGCTGGAGTGTTAGGGCTGGAGAAGAAAAGATAAAGAACTGGGAATTAAAGGCTTGCTTTGAGATACGTTTTGCCACGCATCAACTGCGGGAGAGGGTCTCCCGATCGAAGGCGTGCGACCCGGTCGTATAGGATTATTTTCCGTTGGATACTCACTCCCACCATTTTTTATCTCTTACTCCTTCACATAGGTAAAAGTGCCATATAGATAGGCCAAAAGCCCATTATTATACTTGCTTTTGGATACGTCGTAATTCCACAACTGAAACTGATTTGCTGGAGATGCTTTGCAAATTTAGTGTTCAATGCAGTTGCTCGACGCTTTTGATATTTTGTGTTTCACAACTAGCATGTTCAACTTTTTATACTGATTTTCTTTGATTTTTTGTTTTACATAACCCCCCATACAGTTTAAATCTTAAGGTTGAATTTTTTTGTGTATATAATATTTAGGAATCAAATATCTAATTTCGGTGTCCGAGCACGGAGGTAACTCAAATAATGAAACCTGTATCTACACGAGGATGGACACGCATCCCCGTTTGACGTCTTCATAAACGGCTCACGTACTCCACGGCCCAGCCACACCGTCGATTCGCAGCTCGCTCGCCAATCCAACCAATCCATAACCCGCTCCTCCTCGCCCGTCTCCGCCGCACCCCCAAAACCCT